GATTGAACTCAGGACCTTGTGTTTGTGAGGCAGGCACAGTGCCACTGAGCAAAATCCCCAGGTCTTATCTTTGTTGATATATACTTTTTCACATATGTATGTTGAATACCTGTAGTCTTTAAAGAATGGTAAAGTTTTTTATGTAGAATGTTTTCATTGTATCTTAATATAAAAACAAAGAAAACTATTGAATAAGAGTACAAATGAAAGCTACTTATTTTTTTTTTCTTTTTCGCTTCTAATTTTAAGAATATGAAAGAATCTTCATTTTACTGAAGCATGTGCAAGGCAGTTTACAAACAAGACTAATATTTTTACAAAATGTCATTAAAGAAGCATCAAGGTAAATAAACTTTTGTATGCTATAAACTGGTGATGAAGTGAATTTCCAATTTATGTATAGGCAGTATTTTAAGAATATCTTCTATGCACCTTTGTTGTTTATTCATACACATAACATACCAATGTATGTATACTTCTTAGTTTATTGAAAAAAATTCACTTAAAAATATTGCCACACACAAATTCTTCAGGAATTATGGACTTTTTCTCCCTGAAAATTACTAGATACTTTCAAAATTCTTGTTTATCCTTCATTGTAGCCTTTTGATGTCTTTACATCCTATAATTTTTATCCCTGTATATTAATTAGTGACAAATAACCTAGGAAGACAGTATTTGAACGCAGTTTGTTTTTACATGGGAAGACTTAATCAAAGGGAACAGAATTGAACAAATGATTCTTATTTAATTGTTTTGGTAGTTCAGAGTTATGTACTTTAATATAAGGAATGTGAATGAAAGTTACAAACCTAACCACAAAGTTCAGTTAATTGGGAAGCATAGTTGAAGCATTAAAAGCATGTTTTATTTTTCAAGGTTTAAATTTTAGTATTATAAGAAAACCTAGGGTTTATTTCTTCTGACCTTCCAAATATAAACATACCCATTAATCAGTCCCCTATCTTATATGCTATATATAAAGGTTTTAGATAAGTTTTTCTTTTTGGAGTGGCTAAAGCATGGGCCACTTTGAAGGATCAAGATAAGGCCATAAATTTCACATAGTTTTGAATATTTAGTCTGTTCTGTTCTTCATAATACTTTTCTGCTCTTTGGTCAGCTCAAACCTCATTCTGGACTTAGCAGGATAGTACTGATAACGCCTGCCAGCTTTTAAGAAAGATTGTAGTAATATGGTGGCTATTTGTATTATTTTACAAGTAAAGAAGAAGTAGGAATAGTATGTCCGGTGTTTTGTTATTCTAAAGAGCATCAGTGCTATTAATATAGATGAATACAGTTGACTTACCTATCTTTATTTTGAAAAAATGCTATTTTGCACTTTAACTGCTTGCTGTGGCCTATGTTATAGGTATCTAATTATCTTTGATTTGTTAGCTTTCAAATTGTAATAGTAGACATCATGGATTTTAAATGCTTCTGCTCAATTTTAATTTTCCTTTGCGTTTTGTGAGGAATGATATTCATACTTTGTTCACATTCCTTTCAACACTCAAATTTCAAAGGACATGAGAAGATACTGCAGTAATTGCTCTGAGATCCCAAATCTGAGTATTTGGAATCCTTGTATATAGTAGTATACACTCTCCTTTTTTTTTTTTTTTTTTTCCCTCTGTGGCTATAGGAGGAGTAACCCCTTTCCCATTGTTTCTAGAACTAGCTTGCTTATCTGTTTTAGGGACTATGATACTGTTCTGTACAAATAGTAATTTGTAAATCTTCCAACAGATTTTATGTCATAGAGTATTGATTCTTTATTTTCATTTCACTTTGAAAAATTTTCCCCAAAGCAAATGTTTTTATTTTTTAAACATTATGCTGGTATATACTATGGATTAAAAAGTAATTGAGAGTGTTATTATTTATTTTTTCATGCAGGTTTAAAAAACGAATGCTAATAGAACAACTGGAGAACTTCTTGGATGAAATTCATCGAAGAGCCAATCAGATCAACCATATTAATAGCAATTAAACAAAAATAGAATGTGGCCACTTGTTTCACTGTCTTCTCCAAATACAAAGTAAATACAAGACTGTTGTGATCTTGCATTCATTTTTTTTTGACATGCATTGTTGGCTATTTGAAATTCTAAAAGCAAGTCTACAGATCCTTTTCCATCATTTTACAGTGACTTTTCATTTTGGTTTATTTTTGTAATGTGAAGAAGTATCACTCTAAAAAACATTTTTATTTAACAAACTAGAAATATTCCTCCAGATCTCTTTCTTGTCATTGACTCTGCGTGTCAATTTCCCTCAGGTTCTATTTTCTTGACCAACCTTTAAATTGTCACCTCTGTTAAGGTTGAACTTTGCCAAAAAATAATTAATTAAAAAGAAGTTACTTTGTAATTTTTGGGGAAAAAAGCACATACATTAAAACTAGGTAATGTTTTGTATATACAGTTATTTTGGATATATTATTGTAAGTTGTACAAATGTATTTTGAAGAATATTTAAGAAAAGCACTTTTGTTATTCCATCAATAAATGCTCTATTTTACTCTTGTGTGGCTTAGGAAATGATCACATTTAAAATAATCACTTAAAAACGTCCGAATAATGAAATTTTAAAGGCCTTGCTTTTTAGCATTGGAAAATACATTACTTGACGTTCATATTTGTTAAACCTAACTGTAATTACATGTTACACATACTGCATTGTCTTTTTACTATATTTTCATAGTTTTTGTTCGCCATGCCAACATACTGGCATTTCTGCCTGAATAATTGGAATGGCTATGGCCTGTGGCAGATTGACAGGTACTAAAAAGGATGATTTTGGATTTTTTTTTTTTTCTTTTTTTTGCACCTCCAACCCCTTTTCCTTTCTCAGGATTGTGGGTGGCACTAAGTTGAGGTCATTATGGAGTATTAAATTTGGGGTACACTACATACTCTGAAATATCTACTAGCCTTTAATAACCGTTTGACACTATGCCATGTGTACAAAAGCCTACAACACATTATTAAGTGTTCAGAGGGGGATTCTTCATTCTGCTCTGTAGTTCTGTCACTTAAACTGCCAACTTTATTGAGAAATTTAATGGAAAGGAGCTGGATTTAAGACAACTTTGTTCATTTTGCATTTCCTGAGTTACACAAAATGAGGAAAACTGACACCATTCACTTTCCACCCTTCAATCCAATGACTTTATGATCTATTACCTGACTTATTCACCATTCATAGGTCACTGCTGTGCCTTTTAGTGGTTTGAGGGTTATCCAGTAGAAAAGGTTTTATATGATAAGGCAAAATAACCATAAAATTACAATGAAGTGTTTTTAGTTTGATAATACTTAAATCACATACCCTTTTTATACTTTTATCAGAACATTTTTAAATTTCAAGGGTATAGCAAAGTGAAATTATTTTTAATGAAGAAAAGTATACATAAAAGTGGATAACATTCTTGATGTCTGCTAATTTAGTCAAGGGGATTTGAAACTCTCCCAACACTGAAGACAAACCCTGTCAAGTAAAAGAAGCATTTGATGTAACATTACATAGTATTTTCATATGCATTTCTTTAAACCTTTTTTACCTCTATAAAATACCTTCCAAGTAAAGCACGATAAAATTTAGATGGAATTATTAATTACTGCAGTCATATTGCTAAATTCAGCAAGAACTACACAAAATTGTAAATATGCTTTCAGGTTTTAAATTTTTGTATTTGGATTCTGAGATTAATAGCATTAGAAACCATTCAAATAGAAGTTCATACTTAAGAGAAAAAGATTCAGCCTATTCTGATAGCTTTCTTTATCAAAAGAAAGCTATTTCCATTTCACATTCTCATAAGGTAATAATCTTTAGATCACTTACATTTAGTAGTTTTCAATGTGGACCCTAGAGGAAGTTGGAAAGTAGCAGTTTATTCTGTCTCCACTTTTCATCCTTTAATTTCTCTGCCTTGATCCTCTTTACGGCCTCATCCCAAAACTTAGTCTTAAGATTTGAAGCCCATCAAAACTAAAGCTTTGGGGGGCGGGATTTAGCTTAGTGGTATTGCACCTGCCTTGCAAGTACAAGGTCCCAAGTTCAATCCCTGGTGCTGAAAAAAACTAAAGCTTTACATCCTATCCCTCAGGCTTTTTGCATTTTAAGAAACTGGGCATGTTCAGTAGTGAAATACTTGCTATAGAATTCTTGTCAGTAAAAGGGAGGGAGAATGTACCTGGGGGGAGTATCTTGTGTTTTGATCCCGTTAGATCACTAAATGACCTTAGGCTGGACAAGTAATATTCTTTGAAAGGTTAATCTTGAGGTTTTTAGATCATTTTTTCTTAATGATCAAACATTCCATTTGTCAACTGATTGATTTCATTATTTGCTCTTACCCAGTGAGATTTGTCATTTGGAGTAGTGAAGGCTGAGACTCACTTCTAATTTCTTCAGTAATCATCAATAACCATTTTACTTTGTGTGATGTGGGGAAGTGCCTCCCAGAAAGAGGTAAATAAATTCACAAAGACTTAGATTTGTGGTGAATTATGCAACTGTTTTTGAGTTAACCTTGTATTTTAACCTGATTAGTAAGACAGTTCTGAAAACCCATAGCATTGAAATAGTGGTATATCCTTTCTTAGTTCAAGTATATTACATTTTTATTCAGTTGAATTAAAAAAAAAATCTCTTACAACTGTTATCAACATTTGTTGGTTATCAGCTTTCAGTAATGATCTTTCTGTTCTTTTAGTCCTACCTTGTTTCATCTCTTTTTTTAACATGTATCTTTTCTAACAGAAAGCTCTCTGCTGCATGTGTGGAGTGATAAGTCACATTTTCATCTAATCACAATGGGGCTGGGATGATCTTGCTGAAATATATTAAGTGGATATATTCTGTTGATGGTTTCCCCCCCCAAATAATCCCCTAATAGATTATTTTTTGAGTGAATGGTTATCTTGATCCTTTTTGTCACAAAAAAATGTTCCTTTGATTTTTAGCACAAGTATAGCAGTATGCAAATGATTCTCAGATAAAATGATGTTGACAGTATTTCCTTAACAATTTGTGTAAAACTGCGTAATTTTCATAATTCTAACTTTTGACTTTTTTCTCCACAAATAAAAGTAATGCCTGATGTTTAGTTAAAGTAGATCCACCTTTGCTTGATTTTATTAGTCTGTTCCATCCTATTTCTTTTTATTACACTGTAGATTGCCAACAACTCTTTACTGAGAATCTCTTCCTAGGCTAATAAATAATTGTCAGAGGGAGAGGAGCAACATTAAGAGAAATTACTTTAGAGATTGCATTCGATGTTGTTGAAGCTTAAAGGACATCTGCTTGTCTTTCTGATGTGCTAAAATAAGGCTTTGCCTGTACCATACCATCTTTGGATTGAGATAAATTTGTTTAGTGAGACATAATATACTAAGATAATTGATTTTTGAGAAAGAATAATATAGGAACCCAGGTGCATTCACCAGAATACTAGTCACCGAGAGTCACTAGGGGACTTAACTAATACACTTAGTAGCCTGAAGAAACTTACCTTCTTTCCTAAAATGACAAGCAAGGGAACCAGTTCGGGGAGAAGGTGGCAAGATTTAGGCCTGTGAGTATAATAGTATACCTCAGTGGTAGAGTGCTTGCTTAGCATGCTCAAGACCCACCCTGGGTTCAATCCCCAACACTGCTGGGAGGAAGAAAAGGCAAAATGTATAGTTTATTTTACTTTATGAATTCTCTACGTCCAGAAGTAGCAATCTGAATTTTTGAAAAATTACAGTAACTTCAAAACAGCTAAGAGAAGAAATAGGCATGAAACAAGGATAATAATTTACTCATATATGAAGTAGTCCCTGTTCTCAAGATCTAAGAAGTAGCTGGAAGACTTCTGAAACACCATAGAGACAGCAGAAATGCCTATAGTGAATGAATAAGCCCTTGATGCTAGACAGATGCTGATAAATAATTATCTGAATCCTATCAAATAGTACTATTATGCCTGTGCTGGGTTCTCTCAGGAAAAAGATGAATGGCTGATCTGCTTTAAAAACAGGAATCCAAGACCTTTTCAATAACAACAGAGCTGCAGTAAAGATAAAGAGTAGAAAAATTTCATTCCATTTTCTATTTGAAGAAAATCCCTTTAATTTAGATAGAAAGTCAAATTCGTCTTTTAAGAATTCAAAGCATCCTCATGACATTTCCTTGTTTAGTGTTATGATGGTTCAAATAGGAAAAAGAAAACTTTGTTTTCAAAAGATTCTATGGAATAAATTCCTTACTAGAGGTAATTTTCAGAATGATTCTATTCCTTGTTTATGGGGTAATGGTACAAATCCTTTTCAAAGTGGTTATCTTTCCATTTTTTTTTTTTTAAAGTTTGCTTTCTGTTAACATTTTAAAAAAATGCTATACCATGTCTGAACTTGGGGTCATAAATGGAAAGGCTTGAAACTCAACACAACTGAATAAATTGAACAAAGGCACATACAGGCAAGCAGCATGACCAGGAATTGTATACTCACTCTGGACATACCTGGGGCTGCAGATACCTTAGTGCCTTCCTCTGAAACCTCCATCTTGGCCTTGTGGATTGCTTCAGAAACATAAAAGCCATCCTGGCCTAAACCTCAGGAAATGACAAAAAGATGAATTGCTTATTTACATCTTTCTATGTATTTAGTATAAAGATTTGTGTACATTTTTAGAGAACAACCTATGAAATAGTATCCAATACTGCCTACTATGTAGTAGGGAGAGATTATTTAGAAAATTACCGTTTCAGTATATAAAAACCCCAATTTGTTAAATTTATCTAATAACCCCCAATTAATATTCAATCACCTTTCCATGTTTTTCGGTAATTTTCAAAACATTTCTAGTTAATATTAAGATCTTCAGCCAATTCTTATAAAACTTACGTAGTTACAAGAACTTCAGGGTATATTAAAAGGCAGATTCAATACCCCAGGAATCATTTTCAGCAAGCTTCTGAATGATTTCCCTTTGAATACCTTCTTGGACTTTATTTAACAGCAACTTTTAAGTGATAAAGTTACAGGTTTGTAACAGGCTTTAGGAGGCATAATTTGGTGTATTCATAATGTGTCTAACGTTGCATGACTGCATTCTGTGTATATTCTGTATAAGTTATGCAATTAACCTGCCTCATGGGCAAGAGTCTTCAAAGAAAAAGATTGTAGCATTATTCTGTGCAACAACAGTTTCAAAGATAAAAGCTTAACAAATAGGATTGGGAATGATAACTTAAAGAGGAATGCACAGATTTTTAACCATTAACCATTTAAAAACAGTTCTCCAAAGATGAAATGGTTCCTGAGAATACAGTAAAGAAAGCATCTTTGGAATTACAAGAAACTTTAGAAATTGTTAATTTCTGTTCTTCATTTTAGAGGGACCTATTTAGTCATCTGAGATCACACATCTGATAAGCAGAATTGGGGATACAGTATGTAGATTTTTGAACCCAAAGCCCATTTCCACCCCAAGCCTCCACTCAAACACTACCATCTTTCAGGAAGTGCACTCTAGCATACCACCAGAAAAGGATCTGTAGCCTGAGTATTAGAATAATGGTTTTGATGTATATATTTCAAAGGAGCTTTGTTTACTGCAGTTATGCACATACAAAAAGGTGACCCATGAATGTTCTAAGAATAAAACATGCCCAGAATATAGAATGTGTAATGTTTCATCCATCTTGTAATTAAGATCTACACAGGACATTGTGAGTTGGCTATATTCACTATAAGGAACAATTACTTTACAGCATCAGGGAATCAGGGGAAAAAAATCCATGGAAACAGTTACTTGGCATTAGCAGTTGGTCTTTGAGAAAAGAAACAAATTTCTCTGTCAATAATTAGCCCCTCCTGCTGTGTGTGACAGGATGATCACAGTGAAGTCCAGGACTACATAGTTAAGTTCAAGGCCAGCCTGAAGTACATAGTGAGACCCTGTCGCACGAAGAAAAAAAAAAGCCCCTCCTACTAGCTCACTGTACCAAAATTTTAAAAAGCTTTATGGGTAAAGAAAAGTTCTTTGATAGTCATAAGAAGGTTTTACTATCTCTCTGACTTCATTACTATTTTCAGGAGAATAGACTGGGTATTATAGTGTCTTGAAATTCCAGGTGAATTTCATTTATGTAACTTCTCCATCGGACTTCAAGAATGGTACAGTAACTGACATTTGTGTTTACTCAGCCGTAAGTCAAAACATTTTACCTCTTTACGAAAGATCAACATTTGCAGTAACAATGAGAATTTGGGAGTTGCCTGTGAGTATTCATTTTTCCTTTGATCTTACATTACAGATTGCTTGCTTTTATTAAGTAGCTATTGAAATGTTATGAAACTATTGGAAACAACCTAGAAATTTGGACATGAAGGATTTCTGTCCTTTTTCTCCTCTGGTGTTGGCATCTTAATGCCACTGAAAGTCATACAACCTAGTTTCATGAAGTTTGCTCTCAAGATGGTTTGTAAGTATTCTGTGGAAAAGATTCCATGATTGTGGAAGATGTGGGTTGACAAATTTTACACTTTCGTTTTGAGTAGGGAACTTCTCAGAGCTGTTGATTTGCTAATAATGTTCACAGGGAATGTTTACAGAATAACATAGTGTCCAGCACTGAAATGTTCCACACCATCTCCTATTCTCTAGTTTACCAGATTAGCATTCAGAGAACATACTTGGGGAAACTGTGACCCACTATAAACCCATTTGTTCCATATTAGGTTTTTTGTTCCAATACCGGGGATTAGCCTCAGGACCTTGTGCTTGTGAGGCAAGCGGTGGCACTACTGAGCTAAATCCCAGGCCCTCCATATTACATTTGAATATCCAAAGCAAAGTGGAGAGATTCTTCATACTCTCCCTCCCAGAACACTCTCCATTCCTCTTCTGTAACTTCTACAGTTAGCTTCCTTCTTTAGATTGTTAGTTATAAAGGGCAAAAATGATGTATTCATTTTTGTATTTCTTTGCCTGACCTGCATTATAATGCTTGGCACATATATGTGTGTTCAGTAAGTGTTGGATTCAGTAATAGTAGTCACCCCTCACACTTTCTTTTTCCCAGCAAACAAGCTCCCTTTATTTATTTATTTATTTATTTATTTATTTATTTATTTATTTGTACCGGAGATCGAACTTGAGTCCTTGCGCTTGTGCAGCAAGCGGCAAAACCACTGAGCTAAATCTCCAGCCCAAAATTTTATTTTATTTTTTGTTTTGTTTTGTTTTGATACCAGGGATCAAACTCGGGTCCTTGTTCTTAATGTTTTTTAAAAATCTGATTACATTTAAAAGGAAATGCTGGTTAGTGTCTAGAATCAAAAGGCACAGCAAAGGAAAGGTGCTTGCCAAGTGTCAGCCAAATGATTCAGTTCTCCCATCTATTTTGTTGGTGGAGGCGATTATTCTTTCAGTATGGTTGGTCACACTCTCAACATGCTTATGATTCTTCATAACTTGATGTTGTGTAAACACAAGATTTGTGAAATGCATGTAATTGTTTCTACATTTCAACCTCAGCTTCTCATCAAATAGGATAAGTACCATTGGCTGTATCTTTCGTCTTTCTAATTATCATTTACTTTTGGCAGAATTAGTGGCTTTTGAAGTTTATGCCAGAACTTGCTTCTACATGTCTTTCTCATCTTGTCACTTCCTTGTAAAAAGATGGATCGTCTGTGTGTGTGTGACATAGCAGTTACACAGCACATAAAGAGAAAGTGCTAAAGAAATCCAAGATACTCTCTAAACCTAGGCTGTGATTATTTGCTTTCTCTATTCCTCTTCCCTAGCCCACTCTTTCCCCCTTTCTGTGCAGCTCACCATATGGCTGGTGCAGTCTAAGTTAACTTGTGTACTCTGGATGGTTTGCTCATTAAAATTATGGTATCAGAGAGCTTGTACTTCTTACTGAGGAGAGATTGGAAACTAATTACCCACATATAAAATCAAAGAACAAGAGTTTCTTCAGTTTCAAGTGTGTGCACAAGGAGTATTTCCCAGACTAGGGGGCATGGATCTGTATCAAAACCTGCTGACCCTGAAAGGAATTGGGATTGCTTGAGAAGAGGGTCACTACCTGACCCCTTTGGTGTGAGTGGCACTGGAATTACTATGAAAAGCTTCATAATATCTAATGTCAAGGACATTGGGGGGAAATTATACCCTGGATTCAGCTGAACCTTGAAATGATACTGAGTTCTTTAAGTAGGAAAACAAATGACTTAGGGAAGGGGAGCTTAAATAAAATGATTCTGCACTTTGGGACCAAATGGAAAGAAAATGACAAATGTTCTGGTAATTATTGGGCTTCAGTCAATAGCACAAAACTGCCTGGTAACCCCTTGGTAACTGAAGGGTGCAAGGCCAACATTTTCTGATTGCTTCTTCTCTATTCAACTCTACACTCAGTGCTGTGCTACATATTAAAATTTTCTCATTTCTACAGTTAAGAAGTAGGTGGGTGATGGCTACCCTTGTTTTAGGAATGAGGAAACTGTTTCTTGGCGGGAATCAGTGGCCTTGTCTTAGAAATCAAGCCAGAAACCCACATCGGCACAGACTTGACTATTATCTTAACTAAAGAAGGGCACTGGAAAACAATACTTTAGTCAGCAAATTTTTCCATAAAGGGCCAGATACTAAAATTCTAGCCATTGCCAGCCCTACAGTGTCTCCCAATGACTCAACTCCACTGTTGTAGCAGCAAAGCAGCCACAATGATTTGTAAATGAATAAGATTGGTTGTTTCAGTAATACTTTATTTACAAAAACAGGTAGTGACCATCATTTGCTGACTCTTGTTCTAGAGGAACAAAACTTTATGGGAAAAGATGAGAAGACTAAAGTGTCTTGTCAGTAGGAAACATGAATACAAGCTTCACATTTGGCACATGGAAGTTACTGGATAATTAAATTATTAAATAAGCCAGATCCCTGTTTCTATATTTCTGTTGGTTTGAACAAATATAAATAGACTTGAACTGCATTAGAAAAAAGAGGCAAGGTGTGCAAAAAGGCACATTTAAATCTAGGTGGCTTGTTAGATTTTGTCAGAGAGGCTTATGTCTTTATCAACAGAGGGGGGTTAAGCTCAGTCCCGTTTTAGGAAACAGAATTGATGGCATTGATGTAGGTTACACTCATTCCTGTTTGCGGACACAGACTACTAAAACTAACTACTAGAACATAGTAATTAAGAGTATGAACCTGGGAATCCAGCGCCTGGGTTTTGAATCCAAGCTCAGCCTCTTACTAGCAGAGGAATTAGTTACTTTACCTCTGGGGGGAGTTACATTACCCATGTTTGCCTCTGTGTCCTCTTTTGTGAAATGAGCATAATAGGAGTGTTTATTTGTAGGATTATGAAGATTAAAGGTACAGAACAATTTCGGCACAGCTTATACATTTATTGTTATCATTGTGGTTTTCTTGTTGTTTCTCAATGATATTGAGAAAGAGTAAAGGACTGTTTAAAACCAAATGTATTGAGTATAGTGGATGATAAAGTGGAATAATACCATTTTTAGTAAATGAAAGATTGCAGCAAAAGTGAGGTATGGCTATAAAAGATAAGAGTAATCTTCATGTATTGTTATGAAGACAGACCCAGAAGGAAGACTGCAACAATAGCTTGAGTAGAAGAACAAACAAACCAACCTGCATATTCCAAAACCAGACAAGAATATCATAAGAAAACTACAGACTAATATCCCTTATGAGTATAGATATAAAATCCTTAACTAGAAAATGGAATCCAGCATCATATAAATCCTATCACAACAAAGTGAAGCTTATCCCAGGATGCAGGGTGGTTTCAACATATGAAAACATATTAAGATAACATATTAATAGACTAAAGGACAAAGGTCACACTGTCGTCTCAATAGATGCAGAAAAGGCTTTTGACAAAATCCAGCACCTTTTCATGATTAAAACAAACAAACCAACAAACCAACCAACATGAAAGATTCAACCAACTTGGGATATTAGGTAACTCACTCTACTTGATGAAGGTTATCTACAAAAACTCCCACAGCTCAGATCATACTTTGTGGTGAAAGATTGAAAACTTTCCAAGATCAGGAACAAGACAAGGATTGCCCACTCTTACTACTACTTCTTCTTCTTCTTTTTTTTTTTT